GGGAGGAGAAAGACTTCTCACAGCTGAGTGTCTTCATTAGAAAGTGTGCTCTTTTCTAATATCTTAAACTGTCTGGTGCTTTAAATTTTCTTTAAACTCAGGAAAACTTTGAGATTTAGAAAGCCCCCTCTAATGGCTGATTATTCTTTTAATCTCTTGCTTTGGAAGAAAAATTCATTTTAAAATATTTGAAATTATTATCATTATTTCATAAAGAATTTGAGAACATAAGAGGAAAACATTGACATAGAGTTGAATAGTGCAGTATTTAGAGCATTTTTTTTCTTTTCTTTCCTTTTTTTTTTCCTTTCTATAGGAAAATGAGCCTGTCTCTGAATTCCCAGCAGTGGTTGTGGAGCCAGTTCCTAGTGCCAGACTAGAACAGGGTTACGCTGCTCAGGTCCTGGTTTATGATGATGAGACTTACCTGATGCAAGATGTAGCAGAGGAACAAGAAATTGAGACTGAAACTGTGGAAACAGGTAGACTTACTTAATTCTTTTCTTCCATGAGGTTTTTGTAATTTTAGAAATCCCCAAGGACTGTGTCTACCCATGGGATGGAGATCTTGACATGGGTTCATATCTCTTTCCTCTAAGCTTAGTTTTGCTTAGGTTTCATTGGTGACAGGATTACCTTGGCAGGTAAAAATGTCCCATTACATTCAGGATGCTGCATTGTAACACTGTGTCTCCTCCCTCATGAGCAGGCAGATCTTCAGTTATATCTTTGCTATGTACTTATGCAGGGACTTTACTAGACAACCAAACTTGGAGTTTTTAAAAATCAGCTGAGCCGGGAAGCTGGTTAGAATTTAGTTTTACATTGTGTGTGAGCCACACAACTGCAGAACAGCTGGAAATAGAGACTGCATGGCTCAAGTTACCCCATCTTCCATCTCTTGCCCCTTCCTGTCTGTCCCTTCCTATCCTGCCTTTTTGGTGCAAGAGTTTATTATTGCTGGTTTGGTTGCAGGAGGGGGTGGCTGTGGGGAATGGAGTTAGGCTATCCCTTTTGGGGTAAAAAGCCTAATAGGTTGAAATTAGCACATCTGTCTATAAAATAACAAGTTAGGAATGAGGAAAGGAGTGGAGCTTTGCTGTGAAAGCTGAACTGTTTAGTGATAAGCACAAATCTTTCTGTACACCCTCTCTCTACAGAACATAATCTGGTTTGCATTTTCTGAGGGGCACCAAAGTATGTTTAAAGTGTCTGCAGAAACAAAAGCTGTGCTGCTAAGGCAGCCTAATAACCTCTGACTGTTGGGCTGTGATTCCTGCTGTCCTTCTGTCTTGCTCTCTTGTGTTGCTTCTCATACTTCTCTGTGCTAATTTTGCAAGAAGAAAAATAGCAAGGAAACCCTCAACTGTTTCGTATTTTTGCTGAATTAAATTTCTGCTGGATTAGCAAATGTTGGGGTAGGGTGTACATAGAACTGCAACCGAAGGACAGGTCCTCTTGGGCACTCCATATGTAACTGGTGAGACCCTACCTGACATTGGTAGCATATGCTCCTATCCTGCAGCTGCCTAATTTAGAGCTGGAGTTTAAATTCCTGATGTCAGGAAAACAAAATAAAGGTGAAAGACTGTCTCAGCTGCTTAACTTGGGATCCCATTAAGTCTGTATGCATTCCCAGCAGATTAGGTAAGTTTCAGTGCAGATTTCTCAGTAAACAGTGGGTGGAGTTCCTCATACATCCTTCTCAAGTTGGATGTTATCCTGCAGCTCTGCAGCAAAAATCGTAGGCATCAACTTCACAAGGTGAGTGTGAACTAGTGATGCAAGTTTTGGGACAATACTAATAATTCCAGTTTACTGAAATGTGTTTTGAAAGAAATATGCTAATTAGAAGTTAGACACATAAATGTAAAGAGAAGTTATGAAATAGTGTATTTTTAAATTTTTTTTGACTACGGTAACAAAACTTTTAAGAATAAGATGAGAAGTGAGAGTGTTCTTCGCAAACTTGAGTTTTACAACTTCAGTTTATTTGAAAACCTTTAAGAGCTTATACTTCAAAGGTTTTTGGATTCAGAAGTTGCTTTTTAAACATTAAATATGCTGTTTCTAGTAAACTTTTGTAGATTAATGGCTAACAGAGGAACTCTTAGGATAAAGAGCTGCTGCAAATGAACTCCTTTTGTTTTTAAGCATAATTTTACGGCCATAATAAACGGGGAGTAATTACAATTTAAAACTTGTAGCTCTTCTATAGGAATAGTTTTATGTAAGCTGCCGTTCAAAGAAAGGGACGTGGATGCTTCCAAGCCTTGATATTTGAAAGTATAGTCTTAAAATTTATAGGGCAGTTGATCTCATAATTTGGTGTCTATGGCTGGAGATGTTAAGAGATATGTCTTGACTGTGTGTAGTTTGTTGGTGTTTTCTGTGTTGTTTTTAGTTTGACATTAATAGGTTCTTAAAAATTTAGTATGGTAAGATAATGATATATTTAAATCAGTTTAACTATTTATTTGTTGTAATAGTTTTGATCTAAGAATTAATGGGCAGTGAAAAGCCAATAAACAGTGGAGAAGAAATTAAAATTAATGAAGATTTTAAAAATTACGAATGCACACCAGTTCCTACCGTCCGTCTTTTTAGTATTATTTGTGTGTGTATACACCTATTAATCCAGTGTGGTTGTCATGGTGTAATTATACATGACAATGAGTAGTGGTCCTTGCACAGAGCTAATGTCCAGTGTTGGTGAAAGGAGTACTTGGTTTAGGCTGTTTGGAAGAAGGCAGTCTTGTGGGGCGTGTGTTGTGAGCAACACGTTTTGACACAGCCAGGAGTCTTTCTGGATTATTTCTCATACAGAGAGGTAAGATAGTCAGAGAGAAAATATGAAAGCCCCGAGAAGCATTCAATTAGTAATGAATTGCAGGACAGTGAATCTGAGTGTGCTGTTTTTAAATTTTAGTTTCATAGTAGAGATAGTGGGCTGTGGGTAGGTAGCAATTAATTGTATGAGAGAGGTGGTAACAATGGTAATTGTTAATGAGAAAGCAGGCTAAGGCAATAACAAGGTACAATGTTTAAAGAACATCTTAAGGTGCTAATTTTTTGAAGTACATGCCTTTATTATGCTAATGATCCCAATTTAGAGAGGTGCAAAAGTTTGATTTCTGTACATCTTAGAAAAATCTATTATTGCTAAAGTAGTCTGAATAGATCCTACTTCATAAATGACTGAATTAATTGCTACAAAAATTTTCATGTTATTTGATAAATGTATCATTGTTGCATCAAGAATGAGTAGACTTAATACCTTTGGTGGTTCTAGATTCTACAGACAGCATTGTAAATACTAAAACCCATCTTAAAGAATCCTTGGCAGTACTTGAAAAGGATCCCTTTTCACATAATACAGCCTCCTTTGTCAGTATTTTTCCTGTTGGCCACGAATGTGATTTTTTTCCCTTTCTTGTGACAGTTCATTGGCAATTCCAATGATTACTGATTTATAGCATTACAACACACATTCAAATAGCCTCAGGCTACTTTGCAGTTAATTTAAAGCTTCATAATTTATTAAAATATAGCATTATTCTAGCCTCCAGAGATAGGAATCAGTATCCTATGTGAAAAATGTTGTAGGGAAGCCGCTGTGGGAAAATTTATTAGGACACTAAAAAGATGATCTATACCATTCACTTAATGGTTCTACTTGTGGTTTGCTATTCTACAAATGGATTTGAGACTGTATGAACTATAAGGACAGTCAGTGGTGAGCCAAGGGCAGAATCAGGGTCTGCAATGTTGTTTTTAGTTAAAAAACTTCTCACATTTATGAAATGACAATTCAGATAAAATATGCTGTATGATCATTATAAGTACTCATGAATTTTTAGTTAATTCTAGTGGAATATGGGGGGGTTTGCCCCCCATCAGACTCCTTCCCACTAATCTATCTTGATTTATTAATCAAGGATCATTATTTATAATTAGTCATTTAACTGTAAAATTAATCAATTAAATACAGATGTAAAACCCAAGTGTCTTTTAGCAAATAAGAAAGACTTAGTGGTTCATTGTTTTTATTCCAGAAAAAATATGCCTATTTGCTTGGAATAGAAAAAAGAATTTTCTAGAAAATCAAAATATAGAAATTTGGGTCATTTCAGATGACCATATGACATTCTTTTTGGAAGGAGTGAGTGCCTTTTGTAATGATTGGAAGGGGAAATAAAATCTTTAGATTGACGTAGTATTTTAATTTCTTTCAGTTTTTATTTGATATTCTTGGGAGTAGTATCTTTAGATCATTGAGAACTGTGTTACAACCTTAAAATTTTGTTTACTGCAACAGTGAACATGTTTATATCATAAAAGACACATCCTTCTTAACAAGTTTTTAATAATACTCATGGTCTATTGGCTTTCATTTCCTGCACAGTTTTTTTTCCCCTAAAAGTAATTAGCCCTTCAGTTTTAGGATTTATTCAACAAAACATTTGTAGTTTACATAATACCAGAAGCTGCTTTCTTTAAAGAAGCAGTGTGTCTGAATTTAAAAACTGCTACAGTTCTGTTTATTTTGTCACCACACAGAACCTGTAATGTGGTTATAATGGGGTAATCAAATTTTGGAATTTGCCATAGGAGCAGTACAGAAGGTAAAACAGTCATAGTCTTGATGCAGATCTTGGACATGGAGGATGCCTACTCTTTTAGTTAACCAAGACATGTATTTAAGTATTGCCACTGTAGACCCTGATTTAATTGTTTTAGTAGCTCTAATATCTTGTATGAATAGTATTTTTCCCCTTACTTTTTTATTAATCATCAAAGCACCAAGTACAAGTTTGGGATTTATTTTTTCATTGCAGCTTTATGATTAAAGAAGAAACAAAACTACTATTTTCAAGAAGCTGAAGTATCATTCAATTTGTGAACTGTCACCAGATTTTTTAATTTCATGTCCTGTTAGAAATCCTCCCTGTGGTAAAAGTTGAAAGTCTGTTTTGATTCTAAAACTGTTATTGCCACAGGGGGGTGGAAGATCTGTATGAAAAAAATGTGGATCTGAAAATGACCCTTTCCAGGATGATAAAATACTGGGCTACAAAGACCAGGAAGGTCAGTTGAAACGATCATGTATATTGATAGCCATTTTCATCAGTTAAATATCATCTACTAAGAACTTGGTATTAGATCTGGTTAGAATCTAACTTTTGCGATTATGGTCTGTGTGTGTAAGGGATAGATAAAACAGTGTTATAATTATTTCTGGCCAGACATTATTTGATTAAAGTGCCTCTTAGAAAAAATGAGTTAACACAATCCTATGGTATACTTCTTGTTAGTGCTGACATACCCTATTGACTGAATTTCATTTCCTTACACTGACAGCTCAGTGAGAACTTTACACATGCAGAGAGACCATTTGCTTTAGAGGACAGTGCTGACTACAAAAAAAAGAGTATGAACATCCTAGCAACTTGATTAAACTCTCATTTTAAGTTGGCTCTGTCTTCCTCTATTACATTAGGGTTGCGGTTTGGAGACAGGCACATGACAGAACACACTGAGATCATGCAACAAGAGCTACGGTTAATCCATGGATGCCTCTTTTTATAGGGGGTTCAAAATTCTCACACTTGAACAACCGGTTAGTGGGGGACTCAGCGCTACCCAGCTCACTGGCCAGTGATGTGTCTGCAATCTGTGTTGAATGGGATTGGCTGGGGTTCCTTGTTTGGTTTCAAATCCAACCTATCATTGCCTCACCTGGGGACTGGTTTAATTTTATTCTAGAATGACCTAGGCTAGCCGAATTGGGTTCAGTTATGGCCAGATTTATCTGTGCAGCTTCAGACCTGCTGCAGCTGCGACAATTTCCCCTTTCTGTTTTAATAAATGCAAAGTGTTCTTTGTTATCCTCTGCAGGTGTCTTTTGCAGATAGAATGACAAAGACAGAATGAATCTAGTTCAACTAAGACTTTTACCCAACTTAACACGTCTAGTATCCAGGCAGTGATGGTATCCCATGTATCATTGGAGTTGTAACATCCACATCCAGGAGCTGTCAGGCGAGGTTACCAGTAATACAGTCTTTCAGCCTAGCATGCCTCAGGTTCATTATTTAGAAGTTACAAATTACGCTTTAACACAACAAACAAGAAACATTTCAACTCAAAACCATCTCAATTAAAAGCTTACATCCTTCTGCCACTGATATCTCTCTTTGGGTCTTGGGGTTTGAGTAGGATGATGGGTAGATTTTCTTACCATTGACAGTCTTTTACCTCTGACAAGCTGTTGGCTTCCTAGGTTAGTTGGGACTTGATTGAAAAACATGAGAACATGACATTACCCAAAACTTTTGAGGGGGATACACATCCACTCCCCTTTTCTGTGTTTTAACATTAACAGGAACATAATTCAATCCTAACAAAACATGCACTTTTGAATGAAATTAACAAGGTGAAACTTATATTCTTTGCTATCATCACCCAGGGTCTGCCAAGGAGGCTTCTTTTCACAGTGAGGACTTTAGAGAGCCTTTTCCGGATAAGGCTCTACTACAAGGGAAAGGGGTCCAGCTTCTGCAAAGCCAAATCAGCCAGTCAAAGTGACTTGCTTTCAATTTTAGCACAGAAACATCTGGGTTTTATGGCATACTTTTCCTGCCAGTCAAGGCCATAGCTTGGCCAGAGCTAAGACCCAGACTGGGAGGGCTTCCCTATCTCCAGCCACTCACCTCTACACAGCTCCAGCTGAGGCAGCATAGTGTGGGGTGGTGTGAGTTCTTTTGTGATACTGTCAGGGTCCCCTCTAGGATAAATTGGATCAGGGGACCAGGGGCCATTTTCTGGTTCTCCTCCCACAGCTCTGGCAAATGTATGGCTGTCCATTGGCAGCCAGGTCTCCCAGCCTCTTGGGCACTGACTGCGGCACTGACTGCCTTCATGTTTCTTGGGCTTCTCCAGCCCTGGCTCTGTTATGGTACCGCGTTCCATGGTTCTGGGTTTCAGCAGCCTTTCACTGGTGCTTCTGGGTTTTGGCGCTTGCAGCTCTGCACTGGCCTTGATGGTCTTCCAACCATCCCAGCGAGTTTGGAACAAGCCTCCAGGGCTTTATAATGTCCATAGTGGCTTCTAAAGCCGGTTCCACAAGCCTCTAGGGCATTATAATGGCCATAGTGGCCTCCAGAGCCTGTTGCTCATGCTTTACTCCCCATTTAGGTAAAAAGAGGGTCCAAACCTTAGCGACTTGGTTTTCTTCCAGCAAAACACATCCTTCCATATTTCTTGGCACCATTTTTCTATATACAGGGGTATTTACAAAAGGGGTTGAGACTTTGGCCAGCTCTTCACACCTTGGTTGGCTCTCCACACTGTATTTTGGCAGCTATTTTGCTGCAGGCAGCTCTCCACACTCACCCTTGTTTCCCCTGCTCTACACATGAATGGCAGTGTCAACCACATCAGGTTTACTATGTTAGGGTCACAGTTTGGTGACAGGCACACAACTGAACACACTGAAATCATGCAACAACAGCTACGGTTTATCCATGGATGCTTCCTTTTATAGGGGGCTCAAAATTCTCATGCTTGAACAACTGGTTAGTGGGGGACTCAGCACCGCCCAGCTCACTGGCCAGTGATGTGTCTGCATTCTGTGTTGAATGGGATTGGCTAGGGTTCCTTGTTTGGTTTCAAATCCAACCTATCATTGCCTCACCTGGGGACTTGTTTAATGTTATTCTAGAATGACCTAGGCTAGCCGAATTGGGTTCAGTTATGGCCAGATTTATCTGTGCAGTTTCGGATCTGCTGCAGCTGTGACATTCCTCAAAGATGAAGCCTTTTAGCTAGATAAGCAAGATGAAACTTTGCTTGCTCTACTGCAAGAATTAGTTGCCTCCTACACATTAATGGGTTAAGAGTTTGTCCTTTGCATGTCAACTAATTTTATTTTACACACCATGCTGGTACTGCTACTGCATCCATGTGAATCCTTATTTTGCCAAGAAATTCATTGCCCTTTTAGTAGTTGAATGTTGATGACAGGCAAAATTATTCCCCTCCTATTGCATGTGCTATTGTGTAGTGCTTGGAGCAGTTATGCCAAGGGTATATACATCTTTGTTTTCAGTAACATTCTTAATTCAGAAACAAAATGCAACTGCAACTTAGATTTTATGTCATCTTTTTTGGTGTTCTCTTTTCTGAGAAAATAAGGAAAATGGCTCTACAACTGCTCCATGGACAATAGTATTTTAACATAATGGTAACAGCTGGGTTGTGGTGTCCAGTTCTTCTCAATTTCAGGTTTCTGCCTTGTAGCATTCAGTGCTCCATTCATACTGAATGCATGCTGCAAGATGAACTATTTTGTAATAAATCTATTTTAACTACACATTTCAGGCATAATTTTTATTTTCTGAGGCTAATGTGAGGCTAATTCAACATTTTGCTGGTGTGGGGCATTATGGGTTGGACTTCAGATGCACAGATGGATTCTCCTTTAGACTCCCTACTCCAGTTGCAGCTGGGAGTGTCAATTTGTAGGCTGTTACTGTGAAGACAACAGTCACAACATTTTACTAATGTAAGCTGAAAAAATCTGGGGGGTTTTACCTTGAAATTAGAATGCAATGGGGCATCCAAACTCATTGTGGTATGAGTGCACAAGAGTTAGTGGTGTTTATTGATCAAAAAGATAGTGAAAAACTATTGAAAGTAATAATTTTTAAAGGTGATCTGCATATTAAAAGGGAGACTGTAGTTGACAGCAAACTCTAGGATGAGATAAAGCTGTGTTGGAGCAGGACATTTAATCCTTAAAAGCATTCAGTGAACTTAGAGAACAGAAGCCTTAAGGACTTCAAAATGATGCGTCTGGGACTGATAAATTGCTCAAGTGTGGCATAGTTTATATGCCAGCCTATTACCAGTCTCAAATACTGTTAATTTTGTAAAATCATATAGAGTGCTATGCAAATACCTGACTTATAATTGTCTAAAAGACTACCCTGGAAAGAAGGAATTTCCTTATTAAGCAGGGAAGTGTAAATATTGATTGTTTGTGTGTTGGTAGTTTGGTTTTTTTATTTTTTTCAAGACAGCTGAATTTTCTTACTCTGCATACACAAGCAGTAATATTGGAAGGTAGACACTTGCTATTTTGATTAACTATTTTTCAGTTTGTCAGAGGTAGTGCCAATTCTTGAGGATACATTTGTTTTTTCTGTTTGGAATTATTAGTTCCTGTATGAATAGTGACATCAGAACCCTGAGTTCACTCAAAAGTGCAGATTGTGACAGACACTTGGCTTTGGTATTGTTAGACTTTGGATGGTGCAGTCAATAAAAGGAGCCTTGGAATAGTCATGGACCACTTTCCTCAATATTTCCCTGTGTCTTCCAGGGACACTTTGGGGTTATTTGGATATTTGGATTATTTGGATATTATTTTGTTATTTGGATATTTTCTACTGTCAAATCCACAGTGGATGGTAATGATTATGTTGATGTGCTGATAAAACAGATGGCTGCATCTTCTTACATGTTTTCTGACATTTAAGTGATAAAAATGCTTCTTTGTATTGTTACCTTGGCAATGCAGTAATAGCTCTAATAATAGCTCTAATAGTGATGGCCTGCTGTTGAAGATAGCAGCTACTTCTGTAATTATTAGATTGGAATTTCTTTAGAATCCTGGGCAAAACTGACCTTTCTGTAACCTTAAAATTAGTAGATGATTTAGGCATTTGGGACAGGGCATGCCTGGACTTCTGAAATTACTTGCAGCTCTTTGAAGTGGTTGGCATTTCAGGATTTTTACTCTGTTATAATTTGCAATATCTTGTGTAGACTGCAGGTATTGCCCTCAGACTGTAATAGGTTGAAACTGGCCACATGCCAGTACACCCATGAAAATAATTATTCATTTTCCTCTGCTATAGTTAAGCAGAGGAGGGGGAAAGAAAATTCATGGGGTGAGATAAGGATTAGGACAAAAAACATTTTAAGGGAAAACAGCCTTAAAATTTTAAAAGGTATAAAGTAAAATCTATTAAGAGACTTAAAAGAGGATGATGAGAACTAAAAAGTAAACAGTTCAAACACTTTATCCTCCCCTCCCAGCCCTTCTGTCCTTCCCACTGACAGCACAGGGAGACAAAACATAGGATTTTTAGTTAGTCTAAAAGTCTTTCTTCAGTTTACTTAGGGAGAGGAGTCCCTTGCTATGCTGTGGGGTCTTTCCTACAGGAAACAGTTCTCTGTGAACTTTTCCAACATGGTTTTATTTTCACAGCAAACAGTCTGCCTGGAACCTGCTTGCAATGTGAAGTTCCTCCTACGGGCAAGCAGTCTTCACACAACTGCTTTTTGTGGCCATTTAGCTTATGGGGTGCAGTTTTTAAGGATAAGTTGTTCTAGTATAAAAGCAAGGGTCCTTTTCCTCTATTTCTGAAAGCAAGGGCTTTCATTCTCTCTGTTCAAACTTCTCACCCAAACACAGCTTTTCAACATCCACATGCTCCAGCACGAGTGTCTTTTTCTCATGGGCTGTGGGTGAATGCTCATCCTCACATGCACTTCATTAATTATAGGGAAACAGTTTATTGTATTACAGTCCTCACCATAGCTTGCAGAAGAATTTCCGCTTTGAGGTCCAGAGCACCTCCTCCTCCCCTTCCCTCTTTTGCACCAACCTTGGTGTCACCATGTTGTTCTCATCACGTGTCTTCACCTTTTCCTTTTCTCTGACTCGGGAGAGAATTGGTGTCTGTAGGTTCATTTGTTCTCAAATTGTATCAGTTGAAATGTTTTTATAGAGTTCTGCAGTGCTGAAAGGTTGATCTTGTCCAGGCCCTGCAACTGGGAAATCTCTTGCCATGCTTTTCTCTATGTTGGACATGTGGTCTCTGCCAGCACTGCACAAGCTGCACTGGCTGCCAGCTCCACTCCGTGCCTTTTCGTCATGCAGGACATCGAAAAAAGAAAAACTGCACCACTGCTTTTGTCTTTCTGTCCGCAACATGGCTGGTTAAAAGCAACTAATTAAATAAAGTCCATTGTGAGCCATGCTGAGACAGCTGCAGCCGTGCGGTCCCACCCAGGCTGCATATCTGCTCACAGGGCTGGATAGCTCATGTTGCCCTGGCAGCATGGCCTGGTGGCTGTGCTGGGACAGGGTCCAGTGTCCCCTTCTGGGAAGGGGCCGGGGCTGGCTCCCCAAGGAAAGGGGCCCAGCCAGACCCCTTTTGAGAGCAAGCAGCAAGACAGCTTCCCGCATTTTTTTGTTCTTAAATATGTTATCATAGAGGCGTTATCAGCTTTTTTCTAATTGGCTTACAAGTGTGCTAAGTCTAAGAGCTAGCCAGCAATTGATTTTTGCCAGGCATGGAGGGAGCTGCTAGCAGCTCCTCACAGAGAACCACTTGGGTGGCTGACTTTTTCCCTCTTCACCACAAATCAATTCATGCCAAACCAGCACAAAAGAGATTGCCATCAACTCTCCACTTACTTAGGTTCACTCAAACAAGTCACATCTGTAAGAATAAGTGAGTGCTTTAAGATAATTGCCTTTTCCCAGGGTAGCTTTGTCTTACTGGAATCCTCTGAGGCTAAAAGTAATTAAATGCACACAGTTTTTTCTTTTTGGTTAGTTATTTGCTGTCAGTGGAAGGAAAAGGTGCCACTGGAAGGCTGTACTTTCAACATTTCAAGCTACAGTGCTTGTGAAGTAGTTTTTCAAGAGAAACTAGTCTGTTGTTAGAGAGTGTTTGCGTAGGAGACTGGGAGTGGAGAATGACAATTCCTCTGTAAGCACTAAATGCTCTATTAGTTTCGAGGACTGTTCAAGGAGATGCTTAAGATAATTGATGATTCTATTCTAATCCAAGTCTGCAAATCTGATTAAACCCATCAGTTTCTCATATTTTGAATTTACATCTGCTGTTTTAGATCCAATTAGTCACATCCAGCTGCTTTTTTTTGAATTGCCTCTCGGTTTTTCAGAAGAATCAGAATGAGTTTTAACTAGTGTATATTGCAGAGAAGTGATACATTTCCTTTATTGTGATCAAAGTTGTCCATATCCCTTGACCAGAAAGCATGAGCTGATAAATGTTTTACTCCTGTGTTTATACAAGAACGGAGATACAATTCACTTGTCTTGAAGTTACTTAAAGCTTATCACAAAGAGTAATGTAGTAACTAGAAGCATAATTTTGAATTGTAACTTTCCAGCTTATTAAAAATTTTGACTGGTTTTTTTTCCTGGCAGTTGGTAAATGTAGCATGTAGATCTACCTTGCTATCTTGACAGCTGAACTGGCATGTAAAAAAATTACAATAATGTTTAGTCTGTGTATAGTAACAGTAAAAACAAACAAAAACCCCTCAACAATAAACTGGGGTAAATAAACATGTTTCTGTCTGACAAAGACTGATGCTGGTCTGGAATCTGTTCCTCTAATGTTTTTTTTTGTTTTGTTTTGTTTTGGTTTTTTTTTACTTTTTTCATGCCAGAGAAATAAAATGTCTGCAATTTCCTGTGGCCCTGTTTCATTACAGTATTTCTTGCTCCAGTGGGCCACCCACTGAGTAGATTTTCTAGCCCTCTTTTTTAGCCTAGAAAGGAGGCTTTAAAATAGATTAAAAAGTTAAATGCCCATTTAGCTTTTTCCTGTGACTGCCTTTTTTCCCCCTGAAATAATAAGATTTTATTAGCATGACAAATCAATCAGCATTCATAAAATACTAGAAATAATATAATTTAAACAGATGAAACTGCAGGACTTATGGAGAATGTTGCATTCCTCCTTAAAGAGTGTTATGCTTTAATATTAATATAGATAGCTCATGGACTAAGGTATGCACACCTTATCTTTATAAGTGACCTTATGAAGGTCACTTCATAATTTGTTCTGGCATTTTGCATATTAATCTTGAAAGTGCACAGACTCAGATTGTTTTCATTTTCAAGTGATTGGAATCCCTTGGACATCCAGTGATACTCTCTCTTGTGTATGATCAGAGAGAGGGAAGAATCAGAGCACTTCTGTGCAGCTGTTCAAGTCTGTTTCATTGACAAACATTGTGTTAAGTCTGTGCTTGCAGTAGTAAATAAATGCTACTTAAGAAACTGGTATTAAACCAAGAACTTAATGTTTAATACTCTCTTTTTTTTTTCTATTTTGGACCTATGGAGTTTGTCAAAAGTTACGCAGTGCCGATTACTTGCATGCACTTACTCGAGTTCACACATCTCAGGCAAAACTTTATTGGGTATGAGTCAAACACTTCAGTTTTTGACTGAAAGCTGCAATCAGTAAACAATCCTCACTGAATTACACAGCAATCAAAAAAGGAAAAAACTATGAGTGCACCTTTTCCAAAGTATGGTAGTGTGAGCTCCTGTTGACATGGGTGTGGATCTTCAAAGGCATTTAGCATCTCAGTACAGCTTTTGATCTGGATCTAAACAGACAAACTTTTAAATTATAGTTTTTAACAAAAGGAAGTACACGGGACAAAGTGACAGGACTTCACGGTTATTCCAGTACTCTGTAAGCTGAAGCTATGGTGTTGCTAAACTACACCATGTAAGGCTTCCATGTCAATCTGAGGATGTTCTAATGAACGACTATTAAATTTTATTGCACATTTAAGTGTGTGCCTACCTAAAATGCCTTTTCTTGTCCTTGGGATTGTCTCCACTAGGAAAATTTCTGCTGGAGAATACAGCAGAGTCCCCTAGTGGAAATACGCTGATGGGAGGAATTCTTGGTTAGTGCTGTTGTTCCACCTCTCTGAATAACAAAAGCTGATAGGAGCACTCTGCTGTTGGCAGAGCTGGATCTGCATGAGAGCTTTTTGCCCTCACAGCTGGCTAGGTGCCTTATTTGTCCGTGCTTCTGGCTGTGGAAGGATCTTGACTGCCAAAATTTTAGCACAGACCTACCCTTAGATATCAAGCCTCTCTCATGAATGTGAGTGTGAATGATGTTGCTCGCAGGTCTTGCTCTTTATCTAATGAGGCACTGAACAAATTTAACTCGTTAAACCCAGGAATAGATGACTGCTATCTACAAAATGCCTGAATTTTTATTTGTGTATTATAAACATTAAGTATAAATACATGCATGAAAATGTATTCCTATAATGTCTTGAGAGTTCTAGTGGATGAGTAGGATTTGTCAAAGAGTTTGAAGCACTGAATTTACCAGCTGGAGTTGATTTTTGCTGGATACTATTCTGTGATTTTGGTGCCGGGGAAAATTGTTTCTAAATTGTCCCTTCTGCTCTAGGTCCTAAGACTACTGAAACTTGAGAAGGGAAGAGATTGTGTATTTCAGCTGGATCCCTTCACCTTCTTCTAATGGAGCTGTGAAGATGCTGTGTTCAAGGAAGGCTCTGTAGGCAGCAGGTGTTTGCTAGATTCTTGGCTTAACAATGTAGGCCTACTCAGGTGTATGGTGTGAATGAAGGAATTCCTCTGTGTAATTTCCATGCATTTCTCTGTGTCAGACCTACTTGGCTTTTCTTGGTGCAGCTGCTCTGAAGTTTCACCCTGGGAGTGATTAGCGCATGGACTGGGTAGGAAGTGTGGAGAGTGTGTTCTCCTTACTGGTGCCTCTGTCCAGGGGCCTGGCAGGCAGTGCTGTGGCATTACTGAGACAGGGGTTCTTCAGGGGAGAGCGGATACAGCCCTAAAAAGTGGTGGTAGTGGTTTGGGTTTTTTTAAATTAAGAGGGCAATGAATGTTTTTTTTCACCCCACGAGTCTTTTCAGAGATGAAGCATGGATGGGACGTCTGGCTGACTGGAATAAGCCCTGTTACTCTAACGGAGATAAGGTGGATTGCAGGCACGGAGCTTTTCTGGCAAGTTGTTACTAACATAGGTGCCCTAGGGACTTGTCAAGGAGAAATCTTGCTAATGCGTCAGCGGTCGCCTCCGTGAGGACTGTCCGGCTTATACCGGTAGGCGGTTAGCCCCGGTCGGAAAGTGTCACCGGGGCACGGAGGTGCGGCTGGCCGAGGGCCGGGAGAGATGGAGCGGAAGGCGTTCGGAGCGTGCGGGGCCGGCGGGCCGCGCCGCGTCCTTGCCCTCGGGCGCCTCAGGAGCCGTGCGGGGAGGCGCTGCCTGCACGGCGGGGCGGCGGGCGGCCTCCCCCGCCCGCGGGCGGCCCCGCGCTGCGGCGGGAGCCGGCGCGGCACTTCCTGTCTGGGGCGGGCAGCGGAAGGACCGCGCGCGCCGCCCCGCAGGAAGCGCTCCCGCGCCGCGCGCCGTGGCGGTGAGCGCTCCGCCCGCCCGCGGGAGCGCGCCTCGCCGCCGGCCGCTGCGCGCGTCCATCCGTCAATGTGAAGCCCCTCCGGCAGCGTAAACATGGCGGCGTCCGTGCATGAGGGGCCCACGAATCAGCTCGACCTCCTCATTCGGGCCGGTGAGCTGCGCCGCACCGGGCCGACGCGGGGCGGCAGCGGGGACGGGCCAGGGCGGGGGGGAAGACGCGGCGCACGTCGCGCCCCGGCGGCGAGCGGGAGGCAATGGAGGGCAATCAGGAAGTGATCACCTTGGCAGCGGCCCGCCCGCGGCACTTGCCTCCCGGCGCGGGCGGCGCCGCCGGGAGTTGCGGCGGGGCGCACGGAGGAGTTTAGCGGGGTTTTGGAGGCTGGGACGAGAACCAGGAAGTGCGCGAGGCTGTTGTCCTCCCGCCTTTCCCGGCCCTCGCCTCGCTCCGAGCGCTGCCGCCACGCTGTCTGAGCGGGCAGGCCGAGTGCCGCCGCGCACCGCACGCAGGGCCGCGGCCCGACCTCCCCAGGCAGCGCACCCCCGCGCGCGTCCCCCGCTATTCCGGTGCCTGTCCCCCGTGCCCTTTTAAACTCTGCTCTGGCGGCGGGGCGGGAGGAGGCGCCGCCGGCAGGGCCGCGGCCCCACGTGTGCGACGCGGGGGGGCGGTGGCGCCCCCTCCCCCACGCGCGGCGCGTAGCGGAAGCGGCGCGTTCCCCCGGGGCCCCGCGCGGGGGAGGGGCCGCCGCGGCTGGCGGGCGGGGGGCGCCGGCCGCCAATGGGCGCGCGGCGGCCGTGGGAGTGGCGGCGCGGCGCCGGAGGCGCGCGCGGCACCGGAGGGCAGCCGACTGTAAACACGGAAGTGGCCGCGCCGCCGCCGCACGTGGCCGCACCTGCCTGCGGGCGCCCCCGACGGGCGGGGGAAGGGCGGGAGGTTGCGCCGTGCTGGGCCGAGCCTTCCCTCGGGCAGCGCCGCAGCTGCGGCGGGGTGAGGAGGAGCGAGGCGGCGGGAATACCGTTCTCTACCGCCGGCCCGTGCAGGTGCCGCGCTTTCTCTGGCCGCTCCTCCGCACCGTCGGATCTTGCAGCGCCCGGGCCCAGCCGCTGCCGGGATACCGTTTACCCGAGCTGTAGCACTTTTTCGGGGTGGTTTGGCCTCTTTCCGTTTCGTTATATCTGTCTGACAACAGGATACTCCAGTGATCGCAGGACTTGTTTTAAAGTGTGGCAAAGCCCTGGAGAACGAGCAAGGTTACAACTGGCCCATACCTCAAATGCAGTGTTTGGAGAGCAATCAGCTCTCCACCGAAGTTGTACTAGATCTGATTTTATTTTTGCCTCTACTACATGAAGCTCAACTTCTAAAAGCAGTCCTTGGAAGCATAAGCAGTACAGTGTATGGCATTATAGGTAATGAATTGTGCAGTAGCTGCACTTGAATTTTCAGACAGAGTCAAGCTTAATACTGGCTTTGCATTCACGTGGCAGTGGGTTTTTACAGGCCTAAAGATACACTCTGTCGTTTATCAATGTATTAAGATACTTTCAGAAAGGGCCAAATCACATAATCATCATACTTTATTTATACTTAATGTGGAAAAATAGCCAGGATTTTTCAGAGGACCCACACCCCAGACATGACACAAATCCCCACTACAAAGCAGTAAAGAACTTTTCTGCTGCATAACAGAAGGGGAGTAGGTCCTAAGCATTTTGACACTTGGGTCTAGGATGAAGCAGTAGCTTGACTTTGCCAGTAAAACAGCTTTCATATCCGCAGTTCTCGCTACTGCAGATTTCAGTGAGTTGTTTTTTACTTTTGATTGTCTGTGAATAGAGAACGTTTAAGTAGTTGATCTTTGTGTCAACACCTTAAGTCACTGTAACTAGATTGCTTGAGAGTGAGCCCTTAGATAAATAATGAATGACCTTTGCTTTGCTCTTTTTGATGTCCTTTGGCATTATTGGTCTCATTAGCCTGAACAATTTCATTCCTTTTTTCCATATTTATATTGCAGTGAGTGATAACCTACACATGTCTAGTGTTCCCATCATCATACTATCAATATACTATATCTGTTTACTTAGTTTTGTATGTGGGTATCACGTGGATTTAAGTGAGGAATTCTTTATCCTAAGGGATTATAATA